CTGGGGGGAGGGGAAAGGAACAGAGCAGGATTGGAAACAGGGGCCAGAGGCTGCAGCAGTGCTGGGCCAGGTGAGGGGTAGAGGTGGCACAGGGGCAGGCATAAGCAGGGGGCAAGTTGCTTGACTCCCTGCAGCAGTGGAAAAATTGAATTAAAGACAACCCTTCTAATAATTATAATTTATACATGGGAAATTATAACACACATTCATTTTCTATGTATAGAATCTAATTATTGGGGCATCACCTTAAGTTCAGGGACATCTTACATTGAGTAAATGTGGTATATCCTTGTCGCCCTTAGATTTAATCACTAGAATGTGCACTATTTGGAGCAATGCTGGAAGAACACCAGGAAGTGCTGAAAACAGTTTGAGCTTGTTTGGTTGCTGCTCTGGGCAGATATTTGGCTGGGGTGATATGACCCCAGCACCCGTTCCTGCCTGGGCCCAGCAGGGGGTCAGACCTGATGATCTGTTTAGGCCCCTTCCGACCCTAAGCACTATGATACTATGAATCATTATACCTGCGGTCCAACAATTGCACTTATACCAGTTTCTTCTAAAATCTGGTAAATACCTTCATAGTTTGGGTACAGTACAACTTATAAACCTTTATAAATTCCTTTCCTGCAATTACTGATTCACCTTGCTACTGAAATATGAAACTCTGTTTGACTCAATATGAGTGAACATGTACTGAGGTCTTAAAGACAGGATTGGGTCACAGGCTGAAAACAGAATTTCTATACACCTGTAAGAATAAAGAAATACCTATTTGTCAGTCAAACCAAAATATTTCAACTGAGGTTTAATTAGTTATATGCATTGCTGCCACTTTAAAAGAAATTGCTGTGTTACACCCATGCTGAGGAGGAATTCGTACTGACAAAGCTAAAGAACTCAGTCACCACTATCATGACACAAGGAAAATAATGACAGACCCTTTTCCATGGCTGGTTTTAGTGGGCAGGAAATAACATCATGTTTCGTTTTCAGTCAACTCTAGCACCAACTCTAGGAAATGTGAAGTTTAGAAATTAATTCAGCATTGAATTATTCAAGCATAATACAGTCTTATGTCAAGGGAAAGGACATTTTACTCAACAGGTATGAATTTAAACTCTCATAGTACTGGAAAACTAATCAGTTTGAGAAGGGTTAAATGGAAAGTGCATTATACAACTATTTCCTTCTTCTGATTAACACCTCCACCATACCTTACGTGGTTCTGTCTCATCTGCAGTGGAAGACAAGAAACTGAACCCACTGCATAATCACCTCTCCATTTGGACATATTCCCAATAAGATACTTCCAAATCTGTACAAATAATTTCTCAAACATAGGGGCTAATTTCAGTGAAATGTTAGCCTCCACTTCACATACATCTGACTGAATTCTGTAACATGCAACCAGAACAAACATGATGCTTGACTATGGATCAGTTTTCTTGTGTGGGATAGACTAGTGGAGATGTTAACCAGAGAAAGGAAATGTAAAAAGTAACAATTTTCTCATCCTGCATCACAATCCCTCCACCAGTATTTTTAATCAAGGAAGCAGCAAGCCATAAATAATACATGTTCTGGTGTTAGGAAATCTAGGTTTCCTTTTTTCTGTGAAGGGACAAATGCATTGTATACCTTCATAACAAATAAGTCATATGTGGATGGGTCTTATGTAAAAAACTGAAGATACATCTTGCAGTGCATCATAAATGATGAAATGGATGATTACACTGATGCTTTGCAAATATTTTCTGAGGCTACTAGGGGCCTTTTTCCAAGACACGAATAACAATAAGAATAATTATTATTATTATTAACAAAAATAATTGATGTTAAGGTACCAGGATGGGATCATTTAGTTTGACCTCCTGTATAACACGGGCCATAGAATTTCACCCAGTTATTCCTGCACCCGCTCAGTAATACTAATTGAGCTAGAGTAAATGGTACAATAGAAAGCAGTATCTGGCATAACAGAAGCCAGACATACCTCCCTGGTAAGTATTTTATCCATCTAACTACTGAGATGCTGTCTTAGGTGTACTGTAAATGAATGAGGAGGAAAAAAGCAGGTGATTTTCTTACTGGCTTAGAGTACTTCACATATATGAAGTTCCCTGTACTGTTTCAAATTATGAAAAACATTTCCATTTTGCACTTTGGTCATGAACTTACAGTTTGTGGATGGTGCTGATGGGAATCTTTGAATTGGATGACAGAGTGTAGCAAGCCTGGGGTGCCTCAGATGGTCCGAAGTCCCCTAGGGTACTACCTCAGCCTGCTTGCCTCTCTGCCCACCTGGTGCACGCTTTCAGATCTCCTGCCATGCCTTGATGTTATGAGTTATAAATGTAGGAAACTGTCCTTGATCAACCAGCTTGCTTGCTGGGAACCCCTCCTCTGCTCAGGAGATCTCTCTTCCTCTTTCTCTCCCTCTTTTCCCTTGGTGTGTTGCTGATCTCTAATGAGGGTGTGGGTCCAGCCTCACCCTTCTTGCAGTCCACTGGGCCCGTGGCCTCTTTACACCATCTGCCGAGCCTGTGGCTCCCTCTACACTAAGGCCTGGCTATGAACCCACAAGGTCAGGCTACTTTTCCTCACAGTCTGAAGCCCTCAACAGCCCAAACTGACAAAGCTACAGCACCTTCCCTAGGCAGTCACTGTGGCTGCCTCCTCCCTAAGCCAGCCTGAATCTTGTGGCCTTTACAACAGCAACATAAACAAAGTGTGCATTATGAAGCACTTATCTTCAGTATCAAACTTGGTTTCTCCCACTCCAGGCTCTGTGGAGATCCTTCTCTAAACTTTTCCACGGATGGAGATTACACAACTTCTCTAGGTAGTCTGCTCCAATGCTTGACCACCCTCACAGTCAGAAAGCTCCTTCTCATCTCCAACCTAAACTTCTCTTTCTGCAGCTTGAAGCCATTGCTCCTACTCCTGTCCCCTATAGTCATACAGAAAAGCTCATCTTCACCCTCTCTGTAATAGCAATCCACACAGCACAGCAGCTGAGTACATTAAATAAAAAAACCCAAGCCTTTAACATAATTTTCCTTTTGGGGCCAAAAGGGAGAAAGAAAGAATCACCAGTGAATAATGATAGCTAAATTACTTATTGTAATACTGGAACAGAATAGAATAGAATAGAATAGAATAGAATACCAGGTTTTTTGGTTTTATTCCTGAATGAAAAAAGAACATTTCTTTCAAATGGTCGAATGTGCCTTAAGACTAGATGGTTATCTTAATAATAGGAGTGTCTGAACTACTTGGAAATAGTGATGCCCTTTTCAAAATGCAAGGGAACCTGGGTCCATCTGTGACAAGACTGTGGCCAGGAGAATGTCTCACACATAGTATGAATAGAAAGACAAGTTGATATCATTTGCCATGAGAACCAAAGCTAACTGGATTGTTCAGGGTGATCTTTAATAACTATGATCTATAATAACAATGTTTGTTCCTTTTTTATTAACTTCTTGATTGTCCTTCCTATTGGTTCCATAGGAGAAAAGGCATACTACCACGTTTTTGAAGACAGGACATCTTTTACTACAGATTTGGTGAAAAGTACAGATTCATATTTCTGTTTTTAATTGTCACAGGCAGAAGTTTTCTTGGGATTCCCCTTTGATGAGTGAGTAATCTGAAGACAAACTTCTTTATTCTTGACTTAGTATTGTTGGCTGTCATTCTGCCTTTGAGTTGTGTTTCCATTTCTGTACATTTTGCTCTGCCTAAGCCATTATTTGCATGGCTAATTCATTCAAGATGATCTCCTTATTCATCCTTGCCATTCTAGACACTCTACTGATAATCTCATGCTGCTTAGCTGAATCAGGCCATTTTAAGTCCACTAAAACTTTATACATATGAAAAATGCCAGTGTTTAAGAGACATAACCAGCCAGTTCTGCAACCTGCCAGTCCCCCCCGTCCACTTCCCTGTCTCCCTGCAGCTTTCTGCCCAGCTCCAGGAAGTACAGCAGCAGAATAAGAATCCTGGGCTTCAAAAAAGCAGACTTAGACTCACTCAGGGAGTTGATGGGCAGGATTGCTTGGGAGGTGAGCCTGAGGGGGAAAGAGGTCCAGGATAGCTGGTTGTACTTTGAAGAAACCTTACTAAGGATGCAGGAATGAACCACTCCAAAGCAGAGAAAGAACACCAAGTATGGCAGAAGACCAGCTTGGCTTAGCAGAGAACTCTTTCATGAGTTAAAACACACAAAAGGAAGCTTGGACAAATAACTATGGAGAGGAATGAGAGCATTGCTTAGGCATTCAGGGACGAAATCAGGAAGGCCAAAACGCAGTTGGAGTTGCAGCTAGCAAGGGACATGAAGGGTAACGAGAAGAGTTTCTACAAGTATGTCAGCATCAAGAGGAAGATCAGGGAAAGTGTGGGTCCCTCATTGAATGGGGGATGCATCCTAGGGACAGGTGATGTGAACTACTCAATGCCTTTTTCACCTCAGTCTTCACAGGCAAGGTCAGCTCCCAGGCTACTGCACCTACCAGCACAGTTTGGGAAGGAGGCCCAGAGATACTAAATTTAATGCACATTAGGAAAAGCACATTAATGTATGTGTAGATGTGCACATTGTTGCTTTCTGACTGACACCAACATAGCAAAAACATGGAAATAGGATAGTAATACAAATTTATGAACAAAAAGACACAAACCTCTTCTAGAAGAACGGGCAAACCCAAACGAATAGCATTCTCAAGTGTACGCAGGAAACCAGCGTCAGTAAGTTTGATTATCTTTAAGCCACTTTTTGCTTCTTTGTTTCTTATCCATCGATTTGCCTACATAGGAATCAACAGAATAATCAGTAGAGATGGCTAAGTGTCACAGATAACCAGCAGGTTAATTAGCTTGTTGGTCTCAGTATTCAAAAGCCCAGTTATTAATGCCACTGTTTTGGTGAGAAGAAGTGAATTAGTTGCACTATGCCTGTATACTTGCAAGGCACCACCAGAAAAAAAAAGGTTTTGCTTATCTTTGTAAAATCTACAGCTTTTATATTGCACAATGGGATAGTTAATTGCGTTGACACTTTCCTCCAATACACAGGAACAGACTGAGCAAATTAAGACACAAATCTATTCTGAAGCCTACTGGCAAGGAAGAACCATGCTAAGAAGAAAAGCGTATCTTAGCAGACACCAATTGTCTCTTGGTTCTCAATATACAACAGGAATGTGTACACTGCCTGGGGCAGCCTAGTCTTCCTAGTACTCAGGGCTAGTGTGGAGAGGAGAAGCTGGACTCCTGCATCCTCCCCTTAGGTGATTTGTGTATCTAGGCACAGCAGGAAAATCCTCAAACTCATTTTCTCATTCATAAAGGTCCTGGCTAGCCTCCTTTCCCTTTGACATTAACTTCAAACCACATAGAGACACCTGGGAGCTGAGGGTGGAGGAGGATGGTGTGGCAGGGTTGAAGGAAGACGGGATGCACATCTGTGGGGTATAATCTGACTTCAAAATAATTAATTGCATATAGATTCTGCAATATTTAAAATTTGAATTGTAAAAGACTTTTCATTCTAAATTTGTTCATTGTGCTCACCTGATGCTTCCAATAGCCACAATTTAAGAAAATGGATTGAAGGATGCAGGGAATTATCCTGACAAACTTATGTATTGCTTTATGGATTTGTAACACTGCGTCATGGAGGGAGAATCAAAAATCCATACAAACATGTTGAAGATACCTAGCACCATGTTGTCACTAAGTGATTGAGGGGTTTGGGTTTCGCTGGCTTGCTTGTTTGCTTGCTTATTTGAGTTCGCTTACTTTCTTTTCCTCCTCTTCTTTTTTATGCTCAATAATAAAAATGGACTTTACAATCTTTCTTTCGCGCTCTGACCATCTTCAACACGCATCCCTGAATCTTTACTAAAAACTGGATCAAATCTTATGGGTGGATGCATTGTTTTTTTCTGTTGTCAAGACATCTTACATTTTCCATAGTACAGATGACCTCTAATATAATACATTAGGTGTCAACATAACAATTTTACTTGTAGCTAGAAATCACCTTATAAAGATATACAACACTTCATTGATCATTTTAAACATGTCAATTCTTATTGAAGTCAGAGTGTTAAATTAGATGATTTGCAATAACCGATATCTAATCTCATATTTCAAATTTATGGCCAGGCCCTCATCTGATGTAAACTACCATAGCTCGCTCTACTGACTTCAGTGGATGTCTAGATTATTTTGTGACAGCTGAAGCTCTGATCTCAAATTGTAAAGGAAAAGGCAATTAAATAATCACTGCCAGAGAAGCCTGATACAAAAACTATCAATAAGGTGAATTGTTGGAATGGTGACTGAATTGGTATTGTCTGCAAAGCACTCACTTGGTCTTGGGGGTCAATCATCAGTGGCCACCGTCGTCCCCTAGTCACAAGAATCCCATTCTCAGTGGACACATAGTCACGTGGTAACCCATCAGTGTTCCACTGGCGAATCTCATAGGGATCTCCCAGTATGTTTATGAGGCTGAAGTCAGGACTGATGGGAAGCTCTAAATTCTGACACGTCTTGATCCAACATTCAATCAGCTGAAAGAAAGATTGCAAAACATGGCCTATGGAAGGCTGGGTTACTTAAAGGGATTTGTAACAATAAACTATTGGATATTGGCCAGTAGCGATTGAGGCCATACCCACACTAACTGCACCATGTTAGGCAGTGCCACCATGGAAGTCATTCGTGGATTCTCATGAACATATGCATGTATTAGACCAGATGCATTACACATTTTTGGCATTAGGGAGTGAGTAGGTGGGATGCATTTTTATGGTGGTAGTCCTTTGCAAGGTCCAATGTGTTCATAGAGTGTTCTTACCACTAAATGGCTGCTTGATGGCCTAGGAGGGGAAAAGTCCATTTCAGAACAGACAAGTGTGACCAACTATGGCTTTTATTGCAATACTTGTTTTAAGTGTGTTTGTGTTGTTACAATATTATGTGCCATATTCTCCTCTGGATAACTTATACCGGGGAAAACAGTGGGTTAAAGAGAAGATGAAGCCAGAGTTGCTGATTTACATAACTGAAGATATATCCATCTACATTTTTAAATAGTTTTGCTGATAATTCAAAAAGATGGGGATTGCAGGTAACACCCAGGACGGTCCAGAGAAGAGAAAGAAACAAGCATGTAAATGATCAGGGCAAAGTGTATAAATAAGAACGGTATCATCTCCTAGCAAAAGAGTCTGAAGACAGAGCAGTACAGCAGCTTTGGGTACTTAAGACCTGGACTGGAAAGAAAACAGCTGAGTAACAGACCATGGGCTGGACTGGGGACAGAGGGACCACTTAACCTTTTGGAGGGGGCAGGGAACATCTGACTCAGTGGCCATTGCCCAGTAAACAACTTCATTGAAGAAGACCTGTCTCTTTTGCTGCTCTGGGTTTCACTCGTCCACCCCGACAAGAGATCAAATCCTTCTCTCAGAAGATGAATTGGAAGCTAGCTTCTTCAGTTAGGGCCACAGACTGAAAAACCAGGTTCTCAATGAGAAGGATCCAGGGCTCTTCCCCTTCTCTAGAAGCCATGTCTAGGCTGGTTTTTGGGGATACTCTCAAAAGCGATAGTGCTCCCAAACAACCACACCCTGTGGGGGAGCTTGTGAAAACAGGTGTCCTAGCTTGCATTAACAATACATAATACAGTAATTCTCCTACTTTGCACTCTTTCTGAAGTCCCAGCAGAGAAGCTTATAAGTGAATGCACATGCATGAAAACTGAATTCTGGACAGCAAGGCCATAGATCATAAACAGAGATGCAGAAGGGACATGTCAGTTGCTTTCACCCATATTGTTCCTGCTCTGTGGACAAAGCGATTATGTTTACGGTAATGTCAAAAGAAAAGAGCAAAAGTATTTTTACTCACCAGTTGCCTGTACTGTGCTGTAAAAGCACCGTAATAGGCAACACAAGCAGCTGCTATGAATACATTCCCTATGATGTTTGAAATCTCATCTTCAAAGTTCTTGATGCTCTCCTCCCAACGAACTTGTTCATCTCCCAGTGCAGCTGTAAGCTTTCCCGCTCGAGTGAGGCGAGCTTGGGTAAGTGCCATGGTCCTTGCTGCATGGTTATACAATTACTGAATTGTGATTATCATCTTTAAAAGGTCAAACTTTTTTTTTTGCATAAACTGCTACACTTGCTTTCTAGTTTAGTCTCTGTACTCATAATCTTTCTTTCAGTCTTAACAGTAAGTTACTGAGAAGCCTCCACATTATACCTTTTCTTGGCTTATTTCACTTGTATACCTTTGGATAACCTATGATTCTGGAAGCAAACTCTTTGGCTTCTTCAAATTCCTAATTGCTGTGTTTGCATCATCACCTGCTAAGGAAGTCAGGTTCTTCCAGTAGAACCTGCCTTGAAGGAATATCCATGAACACATGTCCACCCCCAGCTATACCCCACAACCCCACACACAATATAGAAAAGTAAGACTTTATTTTTGAGTTATTATGCAATCCCCTCTATATACAATACACTAACACAAATCATGACAAATATTTTTTGTAATAAAATTAAAATATATTATAGTTGGTGTTATAGTATATGGTAACCAGGGGGTGGGATAGCTTTCAAGGGGTGGGGCTACCTGTGAGGCCCATGACAGCTTACCAAAACTTGTTAAGTGGCCTTCCAGACATCATAATTGCCCGCCCCTGAATTAGGGTGTCCATATTTTTAAGGAAATACAGGACACTGCTCCTACCTGCCACCAAGTCAGCGGCATTACTGCAAGCAGATCCAGGCAGGCAGGAGCATGGGGTACAGTCTGGTGGGGAGGCAGAGTGGCATGGTGTGTCAGGCAGGTGGGTGGGCAGGCACCGCTGCTGCTGTGCGAGAGAGAAGTGAGTGCCCACCCTGCCCCCCATCTCCAGCTGCCTCTGAGAAAGAGCTGCGCTGGGCACATATGGGTGGGGTGGCGCCTGCTCCAGTCCACCTGCCTTGCTCCTGCACAGCAGCAGCAGTGCCTGTCCGCCTTCCTGGTGCACCATGCTGCTTCACCTCCTTGCTGGACTGTGACCTGCACCCCTGCAATTCCAGGACTTTTGTTTCAATTTTCACAAACCAGCCTACAAAATCCAGGACTGTCGTGGCCAAACCAGGATGCATGGCCACCCTTTGTATAATGGAAGAATGAATATGAAACACTAATCTAGTTACTTAATATTTTCAAGAGAAATCACCTACCAAGGCTCTCTTTTTCTTCAACACTCTTTTCATATTGGTCTTGCAGAGCCTGTATCTGCTCTTCCACCTGTCTTAATTTTCTCTGTTTCTCTCGAAGGGTAGCCATTGTAGCATCAAGCTCAGCCTGGGGGCATGAGGCAAACATATAAGCTAAGTTGTTCAAACAGGGGCCCTGGTTTTTTTAAAAGCCAAAATCAATGGAACATTAGGAACCACACTTTTGAAAAATAGACTGTTTATTTTGCTGCCACATATAAATGAGGAGTCTACCCAATTGTCCTTGACATAGAATATTGTCTTATCTGTAAAACTGAATTTTCATGAATGTGTCCATATTTCTGAAAAAAAGGGCAAGAAACTCTCAAGCCCACTAGTCTGTCTTGTCCCTAGTTTGAATTTTGACACAGCAGCAATACGGTAGTGGTGAAAGTCTCATCTGGACCATATATCTAGGAAAAGTCACCCAGGATAAGTTGGGCCTAATCAGTCTTGGAGAATCTTCCTGCCTGTACCATTTACAAGTGCTTGATTGCTCCATATGGGAATTCTATGCTATTTAATGGTGAGCCTACATGGCTAACATTTAATACAGCATTCATGAGCAGGAGGAAGAAGACATGTATTCTTGGAACAAACAGTAGTTTCTCAAGCTGAGGTTTGATTCACCTTACAAGACTATTTTCTGTTTGACTGGGCCAGCAGTGCTAAAAGAAACATCCTGGATTATAAAGATTTTATGGCTCATGGCAGACGTTAAAATAATGGCATGATTGGGATCTGAAGGATTTTTGCCCCATGCCAGAAACTGAGCATCCTACTATGCATGTCTGGTGTGACAGCAGCTGCAATGGTTGGGGTGGGGCATAAAATTATTCAGATTCCAATTGTGCAACTGCTGAAGATAACCTCAGCCTGATCCTGTGGATCACGAAGGGGGCAACTCTATCCTGGACCCTGGAACTGCCCTGTGTCTGATCCTGACATTCAGCTGAGCATCAAGTTCAGGCATAGGCAGCCCAGGGTCCTGGCTGGGACCCAGACCTGTCCCTAGTATGATACCTTGTTCCAGATATGGGGCTACCCCAGCCAAAGCTGACAATCAGCTAATCTCCAGACAGCCTCAGCCTCATTCCAGCCCTGGGGTGACAATGCTGTCAGCTGATTGTCAGCATTAGTGAGGCAGTCCTGTGCCTGGAACACAAAACATGCTACACATTTTATTACCAGCTATGAGAGCAAAAATGTTCTACTGTTTTGTAGAATATCTTTGTGGCTGGGTATTTGGAAAAGTATTGATATTGCCTGTTAGTAGCACTCACTTAGTCTTGGGGTCATTCATCAGTAGCCACATTGCCCCTGAGTCACAAGAATCCCATTTTCAGTGGACACATACCCATGTGGTAACCCATCAGTGTTCCACTGGTGAATTTAATAGGAAGGGACCTACTTAAATCACGGCAAAACAAAAGATTTTTGCAATCTGCATGCAGCATGCAGAGCTAACTTTGTGGGCATTTCACAGCAGTCCTGAGCCTTGGTGCTGATTGGCAGAGAGGCCCAGCCCCTCAGAACTGATTGGCAGGGAAGCCCAGGGAGGGAGGAGGAATGAGGGACCAGCTGCCATCTTGATTGCCAGCTGCCCTTTGTGCAGTCCCATTCATTACTCCCAGTACGTTATGGTACCATTTTATGGAACCATAAACTGGCTGAACATGTGGCATGGTGCAATTTATGGTGCAATTAACACAATAATTGCACCATACATGTAACATCTGCCAAGGTCCTATTAGACTGCCAGCTCTTTGAGCAGGGTTGAACTTTTTGATCTCAGTTTGTACAGCACCATGTAAAACAATCCTGGTGTATGACCAGTGATCTTAGGCATGATCATAATGCAAATAATAATAATGTCCACACAATCACTGGAGATGACAAAGTGCCTTGAAAGGTGTAGCATTTACCTTTGCAGCATTAAACTTTTGTCTTTTTGGCTCAACTTCTTTCACAACTCGTGAATATAAATCCATAGCCCTCACCCACATACACATCGACCGACACGCCTTTGACACCTTCTCTACTTTTTCAGGCACAAAATCTGGGTTATTTATATATTTTTGAAGCTTTAACAATATTTGTGGCTTTATATTTTCTTTATCATATTCAAGAAGTTTTTTAAGGAAGTTGGAGTCTCCAAGGAGCTGTTTAGCTGTTGCCCAGTCAGGCCTGAAAGATTAAAAAAAACAAGAGTGACAGAATCTTAGAAAGCTTTGCCTTGCAAGCAAAATGTTACATAACCTGAAGTCACACATTTTAGGCAAAATCATTTTGCTCTGCAAAAGGTTCTGAAGTGCTTCACCACAACCACTGTTTGATAAAAACAACATGACATGAGTTAAATTCCTGTATCATATGCAATTAATGGTGTAGCATAGACTTCCACTTCATGACACTTGGAAGCAAAGTGATAGTCCTTTCTAGAGGGAGGCTAAGAATTGCTATGTGCAACAAGACTGTAAATCTGCTGCACTAAATAGGGTAAGAGTTGGGACCTTAATGCTTTGTGAAAGTGTGACTTTAACTACAGCACCTCTCTGGATTTAAACTGATCTACAATGATATTACAAAGGCATGCTGTAAAAGTTCTTTCTTTCCTAGCAAAATGAACCCTATAGCTTGCTGGTACTGAAGTTCCAGCGAAGTAACAACAGCCTTGAATATGTCATTTGTAGAGGTGCACCAATACATCAGTCTGATATCAGATCATCACCAATATAAAGAAAATTTACTGTATTGGAAATCGGCTTTTTGTGCCTGATGTACCCAATTATTTGGCCGATAAATGCCCCATGCATGCGTGCAGCCACAGCACAGCACGTACGTGGTAAGCACAGCCAAGCAGATTGGAAAGCTGCATTCAGCTGGTAAGTCTGTTGTGGGAGGGGAAGGGAGAGGGAAGGGGCATAGGAGAGGGGCAGATCGAGGCCCCCACAGTGAGGGAGGGAGTGGGGCTGGGACAGGCACTGCCCAGCTGGGGCAAGGTGCGAGGTGCGAGATGGAGCCACAGGTCATCCATGGACCGGGGATGGGGGCACTCCCACCACTGCACGCACCCAAGGAGGGCATGGGGGTGTGTGCCCCCGGATCTACACAGGGCAGGGTAGGCTGCCACTGCAGGCTGGGGCCAGGGCTGCACCAAGCTCTTCCTAGCAGGGTCTGGGCCAGGCTGCACTCAAGGAGGAGTGGGCAGCAGCACTGGGAGGGGGGTTTGGGGGACTACAGTGAATTTTGGGGTGTCTGCAGTCTCCCCATAGTCCCCCTCCCAGCAGCACCACTCCCCACCCTGAGTGCAGCCCAGCCAAGCCCAGCCCAGCCCAGCCCAGCTCCCTCTGAGAAGAGCCTGGTGAAGCACTGGCCTCAGCCCACAGCAGCATCCCACCCTTGCCTCATACAGAGCTGGTGGCACATGTCCGCTGCGCCCTCCCAGGCTGTGCGTAGT